ACCTTAAACTAAAGTGATAGACATTTGTTCCAAGTACTGTTATTGCAGAGTTATGACATTTATGTTATATAATTTTAATGTGTGATTGCAGACATGAAAAACAGAGTGAGTTGGTTGTCAGCAAAAGTATAGTCTCCTTAATACAAACTATACTTTTGTTCTTTAACTCAAATAGAATTATATAGAAATATGTATTTCTTATATATGGTGTTCTTAACCTTAACCTGTTCTTAGGCCTTTGCCTTATAAGTTCCATTACTTCCATTACTACACTTAATTACAGTGTTATAACAGGAACAAATGTTGCCACTTTGTAGTTTAAGGCATGTTATGTCAGTACAGGAGTCTAATTAACTTCTAGTAACAGTTTTGTAAAGGCTATCTGTGTATGGAATTCATAAAACACACATAAACATTGAGTAACATATTTAACCCTCAAGGTGTTGACCCCAAAACAAACAGAAAAAAGTCAGATATGGCTCAAACTGGCCAATACAGATGATGTGAATCATACATAAATTTGATTTGTTACATAGCTATGTAATTAATTATGTAATTATGTAATGCAGAGACAATATATAGCAAATTGACTATGATAATGTCTAATGGTTAAAAAGTGATCCTATAGATTTATGTCAGTGTATATTTTTACATTCACAAGATGTCCCAGTTAGAAAGCATGCTCTCTCTGATACAGGATGCAATGTGACACCCTCATTCAAATGTAATGAGCATTTATTCCATTTTTTTATACTGCTGTGACACATATAGATAGCCCTCAAACTGTTACCCCTAATCACTCTTATATACACTAGCCAGCTGAGAAACATAAAATAACCTCTGCGTTTGGTAAAAGGACTCTGTACAGCTAAAGAATAAAGAAGACCAGGCCACCATGCACCATATTACTCTTCACTCTAAATGCAGAGACGTGAAATGAAGTGGACTCTTCCATTCAGCCTCTAATACGGAGAGATCATTCAATGGGAGTGGACTGTACCATTCGAGGCTGACATGAACACATGGTGCTCTGTTGTAAACAAGTAAACAGCCCCTCCTACACACTCACGTCACACAGCGGCGCCTACCAAGCTGTACATGTGTGTTTGTGGATGAGCAGTGGCAGCCTGGCACACATTGGCACAGACCAAACTGAGACACTAAAAAAAAAGCTAAAGATACTACAGGATATTTCTGGTTCTAATATCTGATTGGCTGTGCCGTGTCCAAAGCTGTCGTAAACTACTGGACACACACACCTTAACTGACTATTGTGACAATTGTAGTGAGATTGAACAAGCAAGAACGCTGGAAAAAAAATCCCATTCGGCCTAATGAACATCTGTAATTTCTGTAATTTCTTTAGTTTGTATGTGAAAAGTCACACTATTAAGTCACACATAATTTCCAGATTTTTGATTATTTGTTTATTTAATTAATGCACTTTATATTTGCATTTATATTGCGTTTTGAATGTTTGTAGTGGCCACAAGATATCTGCTTGATGTTGTCAGACATGATCATTAAACATAATGTTTTTATCTATCACTTATCAAATGTTAACACTTAATATTACCAACTGTTGTTAATGTCAAGCTCTGCTAATGATTCAACCTCAGGGCTCTCATTGCTAACTAACTGGTTAAAAGCTGCTGTAAGTACTGTAACAAACTAGGCCAACTTAGCAACCATTTTTTAGCTCAGGCTCTCATTGGCAATATCAGAGCACTTAGCACAATCAGTGACTGGGTAAAGTTTACTACATTGAGCCAAAAGACAGCTGAGCTTCAGAAACACTGCACACTTCACTCAGGACACCTGAAAACAGCTTAAAAACTAAATAATTTCAAAAACAGTTAGCTTTGATGGCTGTACTTAAGTCACTATTGTTTTTCTGGTGATTAGCTTCTGCTATACCGAGCCCTAGCGGTGAACTGTACTAGGCCTCACGCAGTTAAATTACCTTGTCAGTCTTACTGGAATTTTAACTCTGGCTTGCGTTCAAATGTAACTCCTTTTCGTTTAATTATTGTTAAATTAATATTAAAAGCTCATGTGTGAAAGAGGAATGTCTTGATTTCCAGAATCAAGAAAGTCTTTACACAGAACAGACTTTTGGAATCAACTCCACTGATTCCCATCACTTGGTATCAGAATCGGAGTCAATGCTAGAATTTCTGGAATTGAACAGCCTTATGTGTGTCTATATGGAGAGAACGAGAGAGAAATCAGCTTTGCACAGTCACTTACTCTTGCTCTTTCTTTTCTAAATTTCCTGTCGCCTCCCTGTCACTGACTCAGTGTTTTTGATGGATCCTGTGGGACGGACTGGTAACTGACTCAGCCATAACAAACAAATACTGGGCGCAAGATGCATGAAGTGTCATTTTTTTCTGTTGATGGCAGAACGCGCTCCGGCCTCCCATGTGAGTTTGAATGATATTATCTAACAAGCGGAAACAGTGACTGAAAAACTCTGGCAGAAAAAGGAAAGGACACCTTTTTCCCTGAAGATGCAATAAATGTTCTCCTAACAACACAAGACCCACACAGTGGCCCCAAGTTTTTAGACATTTGTGCTACACTTAAGTTTCCAAGACTGCACTTTTTTTTGGTAAAGTATTCTTTCAAAAGACAGCTGGTGTGTTTCAGATCATTATAATTTGAGCAGTACTCTCCTAAATGTCTTTGTGCACTTCTGAGTTAAGGCCTCATAAATGAACACATGCTCAGAATAACAGTCCTAGGCTTTGATGTTTCCACCTCAGTGCTTTACAGTACTCTTAGTGCAGCCTGGTTACAATTCTTTTCCAGGATTTCTCTGTACAAAGAGTCTCTCATCAGTCATATGCTAAAGTGTTTTTTCCCTGAAAAGTGCTTTTTTTTAACACTCTATGAAGTAACCTAAAAAGATTTACTTATCAAAGTGTCCAAATACTTTTCAGAGCCATTGTATATCCTTCCTTATCTCATAAGTGTGTGTGTTTGTGTGCAAAACACTTGTCTCACTCAGTGGCACGCTAAAGCACTCTGTTCTGGATGCACACTCCATAAATTATCTATTCCTTTACAGCTCTTACATTCACGCACTGCGGTGCAGAAAGGAGAAAGATTCAATAATTAAAAGCCTCATCTAAGAATTCGGAATGTAGCTAAAGTACACAACCGCTTGTTTTGTATATATATACTCCACAGTCAATCTCTTTCTTTTATTTTTCTCTAAAAAAACTGCCAATAGCTAACATTTTTCTAGCTAACATCTTCTTCATTCCATACTTTTATTTGACAAAGCCAACTGAGATAAAATAATGCTAAAATGAAAACATATTTAACGTAATGATATAATCATGACAGTTAATATGCTACAGTGCTAGCTAACAAACTCCTGTCAGTATTTCTCACTATTTTGCATCCTCTGCCCCTTATTTCTTGCCTTCTCAACCTTGTTTTTTTTCCTATTTTTGCCTCTGCAGTCTATCGTCATATGATTAACCTGTGCTACATTGGTAAGAAAAAAAAGAAGATGTAGAAATGGCCTGTTTTGGCATTTAGCACCAGATTGATGAAAAGGCTAATTCTATCCACTCTAACTCATTAACTGACATATTACAGTCAATCTAACCGGGTCTGTACTGAGGTGGTGGTGGTTGTTGTGCTGATTTGACACTTAAATTACTACAAATACAGACTTTAGATGTAAAGTTTAGAGTTTGTCTGAATACTCGTGAGTCTACATGTGTGGGTTTGTAGATGTTAGCCCAGAGTAACCGGCCTACGTCATTGGTGATTCTCTCAGCTCCTGATTATTCACTCCACACACATCAGTGTGCTCTACTGTTGTGTCTCCGGGCGCGCGCCTCTGTGAGGACGTTTGTGTACAATTACTGTGTGCGCGCGCGTCTGCTCGTGCACTGCTGAAGAGTATAACAGCAGCTGTTCTGTCTAGTTTCAACAAAATAGAGCAAATGGACCTGAAACTCCACCGTCAGTGAATTTTACACCGTTTTTCTCTTCAGCGTGTCTGCACTGTGAGCAGGGGACCGTCCTGTAAAGGCTATAAATACAAGAAAGTCTTGGTCAGCTTAGAGAGAATGAACTAAATCTTGTAAAAAAAAAGTGTAATAATGTAAAAATAATGGCAAAAACTGTAATAAAAGCTTAAATCGGAGCGGCCTTTTTCTCTTAATTCATGTTTTTTTTTTTAAATCAAGGAGGAGATTTCATTGGCTCTCATGTCTGGGATACTATGATGACGTAAGTTATGACTAGCTCATAGGACGCTCATAAAAACACAGCTGAATAAATTCATATAAAAAATATTTTCTACCTTTCCACCTTTTCACACTGGAAAAAGGGTCAAACTCAGAATCAGGGCACAGTGCAAAGCTCTGTGTGTTACAGCATTTCCAGAGAAGAACAGAAGTTCACTGTTATTCAACACTTCACTTTGTTTTGGGACTCTCGCGCTCTCGCGGTCTGTCCTTTTAGCACTTGACTTCGCTTTGATACCCAACACGAGGAGAGAGAGAGAGAGAGAGAGAGAGAGAGAGGGTGGAGTGGTGGAGAGTTTAGCGCAAAGGGGCCGGACTTCCCCCCCTCCTCCTCTCTTCTCCTCCTCTCCTCTCCTCTCTCTCTCTCCCCCGCTGCTTTAAAGACCAAAAACTTTCTGTTTTGTTCCTCAACTCTTCAGCCTCACTTCTCTGCCCTTCGGCTTGACGGCTCCTTCTCTTCTCCTCCTGCTTCTTTCTCTCTCCATCACTGAGCTTGTTTTGTTTCTCTCTCTCTCTCTCTCTCTCTCTCTCTCTCTCTCTGTCTCTCTCTCTCTCTCTCTCTCTCTCTCTCTCTCTGGATCCTAAACCCGAAGATGCTGCCCCTCAGCAGCCCTCCTCGAGCTCGAGCTCCAACTCTTCACTGAGAAAACAAAAGAAAAACAGAGGGATTATTCCAGCTCGCGCTCCTCTGAGTGTTTTTCCTGTGTTGTTGTTTGCGCGCTGACCGTCATGCTACTCGGGATTATTTTGTTGTTTTCCTCCTCGCTCCACGTGTGCCGCGCGCTTCTCCCTACTCCCGCCTCCAGCTCGCGCGCAGCACCTGCCGGACGCAACTCCGGGCTCGTGCGCTCGGTGGACCGGCTGTACCGCGGCGGCGGGCGCGCGGGCTTCCTCCTGGACATGGACGGCCGGCGCTTCCAGCTCGACCTGGAGAGGGACGAGAGCGCGTCGGTGGAGCGCGCGCTCGAGCTCGGACGCGGGCGCGCGCGCCGTCCCTGCGCGTACCGCGGCACGGTGGACTCGAAGCCCGAGTCTCTGGCGGTGTTCGAGCTGTGCGGCGGACGCGTGCGCGGCTTTTTTGCCGTGGACGGCGCGCGCTACAAGGTGCGCACGCGCCCGCGCTCCTCCGTCTACTACTACAAGCGCGAGGGCTTCCGCTTCGAGGCGGCGCGGGGGGCGGAGGCGCGCGACAGCTGCGGCACGCGTGACGCCGAGGAGAAACGGGTGTCCCACGCAGGGGGAAAGAGGAGGAGGCGAGGAAGGTCGGTGTCGCGCGCGCGGCACGTGGAGTTGCTGCTGGTGGCCGACGAGAGCATGGCGAAGAAGTACGGCTCCGAGCTTCGGCACTACCTGCTCACGCTGGCGTCCATCGCCTCGCGCCTCTACGGTCACGCCAGCATCGAGAACCCCGTGCGCCTGGCCGTGGTGAAGGTGACCGTGCTGCCGGAGAAGGAGAAGGGCCTGGAGGTGTCGCGCAACGCCGCCGCCACGCTCAAGAGCTTCTGCAAGTGGCAGAACCAGCAGAACCCGCTGGACGACGACCACGAGCATCACCACGACGCTGCCATCCTCTTCACCAGGCAGGTAAAAACAAAGACACGTGCGCCGCCCGCGCGCTGTGCTGATCATGTTCAACACGGGAAAAAAATCAGACTTGAAAGTGTGTGTGTGGTGTGTGTGTGCGTGTGTGTGTGTGTGTCTTATGTGTGTATCTTGTCTATGTGCGTGTATCTTATGTGTGTGTGTCTATGTGTGACTTGTGTATGTGTATCTTATATGTGTGTGTATCTTGTGTATGTGTGTTTGTATCTTATATGTGTGTCTTGTGTGTATCTTTTTTGTGTGTCTTGTGTGTGTGTGTGTCTTGTGTATGTGTGTGTCTTGTGTATGTGTGTGTCTTATGTGTGTGTCTTGTGTATGTGTGTGTGTCTTATGTTTATACCTGTGTGTGTTGCCAAGTGCAGACATAAAAAGGATTCCAAGTGCAAAAAAAAGCTTGTATGGCTGATGTACCCATGTGTGCCGCCTACATATTCAATATAGCAGAAATTAATATAATCAGTACAGAGCAGTGTGAGTGTGCGTGTGTGGTGCTAAGCAAAGACACAAAAAGAGTTGCAAGTGCAAAAAAGTGCCTGCATCACTGACACATGGACATGTGCTGCCTATGTATTACATAAATATTAATCAACATAAGAGAAATTGATACTTTTGGTATAGGAGAGGACTTTTGCATCTGCACTTGTGTCAGTGAGTGAGTGTGTGTGTATGTGTGTGTGTGTGTGTGTGTGTGTGTGTGTGTGTGTAGTGTTGCCAAAAAGTCACCTGCCTGCATTGCCATCCACGTGTGCTGCTTACGTGTGACACTAATATTTAATATAGGAGAGAATGATGTCACCAATATAGGAAGAACGTGCATGATCTTGTGTGTGACATAATGACTGTGTGACATAATGAGTGTGTGTGTGTATCTGTATGTTCTGCCAAGTTCACAAAAAGAGCAAGAATATCACCTGCATTGTTGACACATTCATGTGCTGCCAACATATTACACTAACATAGGACAAACCGATAATTTGTGAGTTTGGATCGTGCCTTTGACATGTGGTGGTAGTGAAGGAAGAAGGAGGGAGGGGAGGGGAGAACTCTGAGGTCAGACCTCCTTGTAAGTGAGGTGGGAGGTGTGTTGTTCCAAATGAAGAAAGTCACCTGCCTAAGACACTGAAAAATCCATGTGCACCACCTACATGTGACGTTAGTATTCCATATAGAAGCTTATATCACAAGTATAGAATGAATGTGTGTGTGTGTGTGCAGTGCCAAGTACAGACACAAAAGGAGTTCCAAGTGTAAAAACATCACATGCCTACATCACTGCCGCATTAGATATTATTCTATAAAGGTGATATTGATCATCGTTATAGGAGAAATTTCAATGGTCAGTTTTAATGACTGGAGGATGATGATGGTCTAGATTCATCATAATCAGAGAAGTCAAACCATCTGAAGCAAAACTTTTCATCCTTTTATCTCATCCTGCTCAACAAACATGAAGCGATTTTCTTTTTTCAGCAGGTGAACACCAACCTCAGCCTCCAGCTCCCAGCCCGTCGGCAAGTGTATGCCTCCTGAATGCGCGTGATCTTTCTCACAGCGTGTGCACATTCCTGCGCAGCCGACAAGTCAGCATTCAAATTGGTTTCTGGCTGAGATGTAAAGCTTTTTTACTTCAAACCACAGTCCTCAACCCTCCCCCCCTTCCCTCCCTCTCCTGCTCGCCCTCTATAGAGCTTGAGCTGTCGGGAAAACAAACAGATCCACCACTTGAAAATCCTTCCATGGGCTGAGACCACACTCGTCTAAGTTTCCCCTCTTCTGACAACACCAGCATCGAAGTACAAAGGCTAGCGCCTTTCTCGCTCCCCTCTCATGTGGTTAGCGGGTTTAATCCCCCCACTGGCTGCCGCGTCCCGTTGCCTGACAAAGTTTGCGGCTCATGTAAGTCATGCAAGGTCCTGTTGAGTTCCTTGCCTAACCGTGGTTCTCTGGGCATTGAGACTCTGTGCTTAGATAGGCTTCTCTTGGCACTGAGAACTCGCTCTGAGGTGCACTCGCTTGGCGTAGCCTGTTACTGTTGACGTAGCTTCCTCTTGGCAGGCTTTGCCACACCGGATTCCTCAGAGAGGCAGCTTCTCTTGGCAGTGCCACACAGCTCTGGGCTGGCACAGGGCGAATGGGTGCCAGCGGTGTGTTCTCTGGCAAAGCAGCACTTCCACACCTGGCAGAGTTGCCCCTGCATGTGTGTGTGGTAGCTGTGGTTGACTGTGTCATGTCAGTAGGTCGTGGTGGGAAGAGGGTGAGGGGAGGAGCAGACCAGCTGGCAAGCTGGAGAGTTGAGTGTGTGAAACAGACTCCGGGAATGATCACCCTCCATTTCCTCGGACTGCTGCTCAGTTTCCAATTTACACACTGTGACAGTTGTTGCTGAACATGGCATTATTTGTAAATCATTCATTCAATCATTCATTCATTCACCTTCTAAACCGCTTATCCTCCTGGGTTGTGGTGATCGCTGTAGCATATCCCAGCGCTCATTGGGCAGAGGCAGAATACTGACCAACTGAGACAGCTTCATACAGCACGTCACATATTTACAGTTTATCCTTAAGGAAGCCATATCATGGAAAACTGAATTCCTGAATACAAGAGTTTAATGTAGAATGTAAATTTTAAGGTTACTTTCCAGTTCATATAGTCCATATATGCATATAACTAAGATTATTACAGACTGCTTTTTGAATGGGGAGCAGCCAATCAGAACAGAGCTCATTTACATATACTGGTCGTAAACAGTAACAAAACAGTAACAAAAACAGCCTGCTTAAGTGAGAAGATGGGGAAGAAGAATTAAAACCATAAGTGGATCATACGTAACATTTTTTATGGTAGATTTGCTCCACCCACCAGACACTGTGACCTAACATAAGCTGTGTAAAAACAGCTGAGGCTGATATGTGGCCTATGTAATTGTCGTGTTGAAAGCAAGTTTACTTGATGTAATCGAACACTGCAATATGTATTAGATGCTATGTATTTATCCTACTACTGAAAATAAGTATCATAAATAAAGTTATGGGTTATGTTGACAGAAGAATTGCTAATGAACATTTTACGATTGTGTATTAGGTAGTTAAAATCCTTACTTTGAAAGAAATTTGGCAGATAAAATACTCTAGTGGCCTACAAGAATTTTGAGTTTGAGACCCCTGTCCAAAACACGTTTCAGAATTTCACCCACCTACCCCAAATACCAGAGAGCTTGCCCTCACTGACCACTTTATAAGGTACACCTACCTTGTTTCTACACTTTTTGTTCATTTTACCATATAGGTGCACTTTACTAGTTCAGACCATGCTTTCAGAAGCAGGCTGTAAGGAGGGAACTTTGAGAACTTGGGCTGGAGTTCCGAGCAGCTTCTGCTCTGAGCTAGGAGGCCCGATTCCTTCTTGAAGGACAAAGGTAAGACTGACTAAGGAACAAGGACATGGGGAGGTGGTGGGGTGCAAAAACATTGTCACAGGAAACAGAAAGTAGGGATAGAAAATTTATGGGATGTTAGCTTGGAAGCAGGAGGAGCTTCAGGCCTGGTCCTCCTCCCAAACTTTGGTTATTTTATAACTGCATTTTGTACTTCTACAACTATAATATGTAGTTCATCTGTTTCTCTGCACAATTTGATCATTTTTAGCTCTTTACCTTCTCCATCAAAAGTCAGGACCAATATTGAGCAGGTATTATTTGGGTCTTGAACCAAGTGTAGCTAATAAAGCGACCTGTGAGCTTATTTTTAGAAAGAGAAGAGGTATGTCTTTACCCTAAAGGACAGAGGGCTTCTACTCAGTACCTTCAAATGAAGGGATCTTTGGAGTGATGCCATAGAAGAACCACTTTTGGACCCCCAAAGAACCTTTGAATGAATGGCTCCTTAAAGTAATACTCTAGCGTTTTTCAACCTGATCTCTATCTATAGCATGCAGTCGATTACCATATACAGTCATTTTGATGCTTTTCTCTGTAATTAAAGAAAAACAAACAGAAAATCTGTTAGTTGTAAACACATTGCACACTGTTTTGCATTATAGGTCTATTTTAGGTCATTAAGTTTTTTGTCTAAACCTTTGTCAGTGGTTATGGACCATATGCTACAGATGGGGCAAAAAGAGATTAGGTAAAAGAATGCTGGAGCTTTGAGAAAAATTCTGTGATAAAGTTCTTTAGGCAACTCAAAGTGGTTCTTCTACGGCACAGGTTCCCAACTCTGGTTCTGGAGTACTCCTTATCCTGCATGTCATTAGGATCAAGATTGAGAATCACTGCCTCAGTCTCTGAACAATAAAGGCTCAAAAATGGTTCTTGACTTGCCACTCTAAATTTCCGCCTGTTTTGAAGGAGGTCATGTAGTGTTGATGCAATATGTTTCCTTGGAAATGTGTATTTGTGTTTATCTCAGCATACTTCTGCCATCACTCCAAAGAACCCTCCTTGGCACACATATAGGAAAAACATTAAATTGGTACTTGAGCACTGCATTATTAAAGTTATTCACGCTTGCACATCTCATTTGCAACAAATGGTTTTTCGGTGAACCACCCATTGACATGTTCATTAAGAAACGAAATATGTTTTTTCTTTGGCAGTACTCCAGACCAGCCTTTTTGGCACTTTTATTTTTAGTAAATAGCTTTCAAGGAGCGTAAAAAGGGAATGATCCAGTCTCAGTAACTTACAAACATCCTCAACATTCTTTTTGCTCCAAACCTCAAACCAGTTCAAAAGACAATCCAAAAACTTTCTGCAAGCTTGATGTGACTCTACAGAGTGTTCCTCATTTAGAGTGGGGGAAGAAAGCCTCCCAAAGAATGCGGCCCGGACACGACAGCATTGGCAAAGCCCTCACCAACACGCGCTTCACATCACGCTCTCTATTCCCTAACGTCTACGTCATTCATTCCCATAATGAGAACCCGAAGCATCCACGGCCCTGGATCTTTGAATCATAGTGTAGCGTGTGTAGCCTGGACAG